TCGGAGTAGCGTGTGTCGAAGTTCAGTTAGTGAGTCGGGAGAATTAGGTAAGGTGACACTTCCCTGGATGAACTCCTTCGGAGTTCTATTGCCATTGAAAATCTTTAAGTTTTGAAAGCTCTGAGTGGCTTAACTTTCATGGGTTGTAGGTCGCGCACTACCAGATGCACAATTTGCGGAGTTCTATTGCCATTGAAAATCTTTATGTTTGAAAGCTCTGAGTGGCTTAACTTTCATGGGTTGTAGGTCGCGCACTACCAGACGCACAATTTGTCCGTCTCATCACTTATTATCTATCATAATTCCCTACCTGAGGACTTGTTGCCCGAACGCTACAACTTGGACCTTTTCAAGGTGAGAGTGAATAGGCATTATTTAGGTGTGCATGCTACATCATCGACCTCATCACACTTTCCATCAGGTGAGATGAGGCAGAGAGAGGTGAGGCATTTGACCTCCAAATGCGCACTTATTTTTTATATAAAAGAAATTAAAAAGACCGTCAAATCGAATATAAAAAAAAATTATTCAAGATAATGTGTAATTTAAAAATTCACAAGTATTTTTCTATCATCACCTAATGAGCCTGATTCCATAGCAAAATAAGGAACATTATTGTCATGCAATAAAATTATGATGTTCGGAGATCAAGACCATAAAAAGACATTTGTTACAAAAGTTATGCTATGCACAAGTCTCTATTTACCTCAGGGAATTTAAAACTCGACTGAAGCGGAGCAGAGAAGTGATATTTCAATATCTATCTAGCAATAGTAAATCGTTATTATAACACCTCTACGCCTGACGTTCAGTCAAAATTACCTTTTTTTATACCTACAATGAAGTGATGCCAACGTGAAGCCGAGTCGATTACTATTCTACTTTTACTCTACATTAAAAAAATTGTTACTACATTAATTTTTATAGGAAATTCACGTACACCAAAATTATTGCCAAAAAAAGACCAAGTGGTATCTAAGCAGTTACTCTGTATCGGTTACGGTTCTGGATTCCCCAATTAAAAACACACTGTTTACATATTACTATTCGTTATTTTGACATAAATACAGTTGGTATGTATATAATCATTATTTATTTTACAGACGTAGTCACAATGGTTCCTAAAACAAGTGTGTTATACATATTTGGCATAATACTTCTATTAGACCAGTGCTTGGTTTCTCAAGGAGAACTTTTCACAGCCATATCTGAAGTGGAACCCTTGCTTGAGACGCATAAAAGGATTATAGACGATCTCGATGATTATGTTAAGAAGGAAGAGACAAGACTACAAGTCCTAAAAAGGTATGTGTTTAAAGATAGGCCTTTGAAAGAAACATTAATCAAATGAATACCCGTGTACTGTTGTAGGTACGCCTGGAAATACCGTTACTTTTAACGTTCATTATGTAAAAGAAATGTAAGAATCAAACTCAATCATTCTCCTTTTGTAGTACATTCTGAATTGATACACTAAATGACTAACCACGCATATCAGGGCCGTGTCCTGGAGACGTGGACGGGCCATTTTCCATGAGGGGCTCAAAATATCACTGCGTCTATTTTGTATGAACTCGTTCACACATGTCCGTGTCCAGGCCGGTGGCGCCGGGACGAGCCCTGAGTTCATGCAAACTAGCACGACCCTGATGTGTGTGGATAATCCTTTAAAGGGAAAGACTATACTCTCGTCTACGTTTCTAGCTTCAATTTGGCATTAAAATCTCAATTTTCGATTTTTTGTGGGTTAACACGTTATTGCTTATCAGCATCTGTATAAAGACTAGATGAATCATATAATAAAAAGTATAAAATTTATGTATTTAAATTTTACCTGTAATAAAATCATTAAAATCAAATAAAAAATATCCTAGTTCATAGGTAAACAAATTGAATTTGAAATCGTCACATTGATTATATGTATAATGCATGCATTTTCATTGATGGTGTATAGTGGACAAGTCGACAGGTTTCGCACATTCGGAAGAAAAATGTAACGTTTAGTTTTCGATTATGAACCAACAATTAATAAATAAAGTGATTTGCTTATATACTAATATACGCACCTATAGTATTTTCATCAAAATTTCTTTTGTTTACAGGCATTTAAATGTATATAAAAGAGAACATGAGCAGGCAATGGAAGATATTCCAAATTATTTAGGGAATCCAATCAACGCATTCACTTTGATCAAAAGACTGACCACTGACATAGATCTTATCGAGCAAAGTATTAAAAAAGGAACAGGTAAATAACATTTAACGGTGCGCGAAACTAGAATTGACGGGCACCTTTTTTCCGGTGATAGGCCTTATTTTACGCGTGCATTTTATATTTATTATTTTTTATTTAAACTTTATTGGACACAAAGTAGTATAAATGGCAGATTTAATGCCATGAGGCATTCTCAACCAGTCAACCGGATAGCTGAGTTGAGATTAAATAATAGGGGTGCATACATGACAAGTAAAAACAGATAAATAACGCACAAATAAATTAAAATTTATAAATAACTATGATACATTATTTTACACACAATATACAATGTACATATGATATATGACTGTTAGTCGAACTCTGTTTCGATTGTACCGAAGGGATTTCGATATCTCTAAGTACTGTTTCAAATCGATCCTATTCCTTATGCCACAATACTTTCAGAATACATTAAAAACATAACAATGACCCATAGCGACGTGAAGTATCCGTCTCTTGAAGACCTTACCGGAGCTGCTAATGCCCTGACTCGACTGCAAGATACATATTATTTAAGAGTAGATGAATTATCGGAAGGAATCCTGAATGGAGTCCAGTACAGGTGAGCTATATGTTTTTTTAATATTTGCATATATATAAATTCAAGAATTTTGTATGTAACCCGTCACGATTATAGAGTCACACGAGTACTTTAACGCGCAGATGTGCTGAAAGTACATTCCCACATTTTTAAATATTTAAATTTATCTCGTACATGGATGGATGGATGGACCGCCATCGCGGTAAAAGGATTTGCCAATCGACGTATGGTACGCACTGAGTGTTGCCCAGGATGCGCCAGACGTACAGGAAAGGAATGGTGCGGTTTGTGTGGGCAAATTTTGAATTGAAAAAATCATTAAAAATTTAACAATCAAATTAGAAATTATAAAGGACACCATGTCACTAGAACGCGTGACGAGTTAAGTATGTAATAGTATAATTATACTATTATATACTTAACAATTATCCTATTATATATATATCCTATTATTTCAGGTGTTCCAGGTGTTGTATTCGTTTTTATTTACCTCTGTAGAGCACAGTCAGAGCGGTTTACACCTCAAATAATTTTTATTATATTTAACATAGACCTAAATTTTCATGTTACATCATAAAGATGCTCTCTGTTGTTTAGATCCGTTCCTCATGTAACATTTATTTAGTTATTTGTACAACAGTAGTTCACCATTGAATATACCGTATTTCTTTTTTCAGTACACCAATGTCTGCTGGAGACTGTTTCGAGTTAGGTCGCACTTTATACAACGAGAAAGATTTCAAAAATGCCCTAGCCTGGATGACTCAGGCTCTGCGCAAGTACAGGAAGGAGACAGATCACGTTTATGCTTTCACTGAAGTGGATATTTTGGAGTATATTAGCTTTTCCTATTTTTTATTAGGTAAGTTACTACATACATTTATGTGATAGGAGCATTAACGGGTACACATGTATGACAAATAATCACTCTTGTTACCTACCTCAATAATAGATTATTACGACACGTAAAAATTATAAAACGTTAACGATACAGAAATAGAATTTTGTAAATATTAATAATAATATCCGTCTGTTAAAAGGTAAGACTCACTAAGTCCCATTTCGATAAAAAAAAAAGGAATTAAATAAATAGACTAGCACTTGGTTTATGGAAATCGAAAATAACGACGGTACCACAAACACCCGGACCGAGACAATATACGAAAGTTTTTCTACATGGACATTGACCCGGCCGGGGATCGAACTCGGCACTACAGAGACGGCGACACCATAAAATCCGGTGTGCAAGCCGGTAGTAAGGAAAAAAGAAAAGGAGTCCATTTTTATTTAATTGGAGACAACATCTACTAGAAAAAAAAATGTAAGTGCGTAGTGTCCTTCATTATGAAACTACATTACACAAAAAGTCTGTGAATACAATAATGTTTTAATCCCTTTGCAGGTAAATCACGAAATCTTAATTACGTCCATTAGTCGATTTGGCTTTTAAGTGAGTTTTACCCTTAAGCCGACGATTATGTAGGTCAAATAGAGACATACAAAAATAGTGTTATGTAAGTGCAAAACTAGAGTTTGTAGACTAAAGCACATAAGTCAAAAACCAACATCATTAATTAAGTAAAATTAATTTGTTTCAATTTAAACTCTAGTGGCGTATTTTTCAACATTATCATTCTCTTCATTACAAATTAAACTGAACAACAAACCTTGTTTGTTGGGATAGTTAAAAAAATAACATTTTTATACTTATGTGCTTAAGTCGACTGACCCTACAAATATAAATGGCATCAATTAAAAACTAGCCTACATCAAATAAATAAATAAATAAATAAATAACGCACACACTCAACATAGCCCCGCACTAGGGAAACCCTGTGTCGCGGGTGCCATGGACACACACATAGACAACCACAAATTACACCCAAACTCACGAGAGAAATAATTGTAGGACATACAACTATTTCTCTCGGCCCGGGAATCGAACCTGGGACCTCTGCGTGGCAGTCCGGCATGGTAACCGTTCGGCCACGGAGGCAGTTGATCAGTCTTTAAGGCCCCCAATACAGACGATCCCTGGTTTCGATCAATCGTCACGATAATCTTATCAAACCGTTCGCTACTTGGCGTTGAAGTTAATCGTTAACGACATAAACATACACGACCGATTCGTCTTTTCGGGTCGTGAAGGCTAGTCGTCCCGTAGGTATATGGGGTTATTATACAACACTAGCTGTACCCGGCCGGCGTTGCCGCCATGCCAATGCCACAATAAAGGGTGAAGTTCCCAACCCGCTCTTAACTCTTTCCTTAAAGGGGACTCGTGCTCAACAGTGGGATTTAATACTTCAGTAACTTTTGCGGGCGTGGGCGTAACAATTAATGGAAGTTTTTATCGCGATCATATGACTAATAATAGAATGCATACGGGACAAACGTACAAGCATACATTCATTTTTATAATACATGTATAGTGAATAACAACAAGGGTTGCTACGAACTCTGGCGATTTTTCTCCGCAAAAGATTGTGTAAAAGAGACAACGAGGGCGTTACGAAAACACAAAGAATATTAAAGCTATACTTCTACCTTCACTGAAATGGATATTATGGAACATATCAGGTTTTTCCAGTATTTATTAGTTCAACGGCTGATGGTGTGGCTTGACAAGCTAACATATTATGTAGAATGTTCAACGATTTTAGTGACTTTACTAATACATCGTATAACTAGGACCTCTATTTATTCTAGTCCTAGTATAATACCTGAAACCAAAAGTATTATTGTTTGAAGTTTGTTAGAAGATATTTTCTACAGCACCTAGTATAAACTAAATCCTATTTCATTTACATAGGTATTAAAACACTTGCCAAATTACATAAGCCACCATTCATTCTAACGGCAGCGGCATATTGACGGAAGGCGATGTTTTACAGTGCCCACGTTTACAGAAAGCGCCTTTATTTCGAAAAAAGAAGTAAAATTATATTCATTAATTTCCAGACGACGTCGAAAGCGCATTATTTTGGACTAAAAAACTACTACAATTGGACCCTAAGCACGCCAGAGCCCGTGGCAACGTCCCGCATTATCAAAAGAGTATCCAGGAACAACAGGAAAAACTCCGTGTTCAGAGACGTGGGGTATGCTTTGTTTTTCCAGATAATTTCGTGGAATGAATAATATCTCCTGAAATCCTGGAACCAAAGTGCACAATTGAAACATTGGGTCTAACAAGGGCGTGTCACGTAAAAGTGAGATTCGAGAAAATTTAAAATAAAATTTTGGTGTCTAATATCTTTTTAATATTTATAATATGGCTCTATACGCATATGGCGTATACATATCATTATTTATACTTCATTGTTTCAGGTGTTATTATTATTTTAAAACAATTAGAAATATTTCAAATTTTTTTTCCTTGTGTTATCCGCCCTTGTGCGCACCAAACTGATAAATGAAAGGGGCGTTCGTTTTATTATTGCTTTTTAAGGAAATAAATTGTGAATCAGTCTTATTTAAAAGTTACATTGAAAGAAATTTATTTTTAATCATTCATTAAATTCGCTGGACTGAAATGAATCGACAGTACCATCTTCAGCAGGTCTCACTGGCCTCGTAGATGCTCCATGTTTAGGATGAAGTCGCTCGATTCAGCCTTTTTTTACATTAAAATAACTTTTTACAAATTGCAGGTGGCAACTTATCCGAAATTCGAATGCACATTTATAATCTAACCCACAAGGGCGGAGCGCCACCTTCTAAACGAATGAAACTTACGCCATCTAGAATGGAGATCGAAATGAGTTTTTGTCACAAGATGCTGTGTTTACATGTTTTGATGCAATAACATCAAAACGGATTTTGGGGTGCCGGACGCCCTTGTTGTTCCCAATGCTTTAATTACATCCAGTTCTGGCTTTTTTGTGTTATTATATTGCAATTGACCTACATAATAATAGTTCCCTATATTACCGAGTAATTTTTTTTTTATAAAACCAAGTGACGGGACGAACAAGTCGTGCGCCTGGTGGTAAGCGACACGCCAGTCCATAACAATTGCAGTGCCACTACTGAGTGGTTAAAGCACTGGCTTTAATTCTGATCTGTGGGCCACTGCTACTGCGACTGTCACCCTGAGACATGAGTTGACAAGTATCATCAAAAAAGCTTTGATATTAGTGTTTTTAAGTTAATAAACTTCAAATATATAGTCAGTTATGCTCCTCGAGCTTGATATTTTTTAAATTATTGATATCTCCACAAAAAACAGTTAAATTGGCCTTTATTTCCTGATTCCGAAAATGTATGTAACTCGATTTTGATAAAAATGTTGGGTGTGCCCTTTTTCGTTCTCAGAGCAGTGTTATTGTCTGGGTCTGAATCAGTTCACATATTTTGATGTAAACTACGCCTTGGGAAGTTAAGTAAATGTCAAGTAAATTTTGACAGGAGACCGGGGCCCGAGATGACGAAGCGAAGAAGAAACCTTTGGTCTCAAATTATTCTAAAGAGCGGAAGGCTTATGAAGCATTGTGCCGTGGGGAAATGGAGATCCCCAATGAGGTTGCTAACCGGTAAAGGATAAACTTTCTCTTCATTCACGTCGGTAACCAGTAGCGTTGGTAGATTATAGTTACCTCCCTCAGTATATAGTTCTAGTAATAAAAAAATGGTCATAAAAATGAACTTTTAAAAAGCTGCATTAGGAGTTGTCTTATTACCAAGTCTCTTGATGTCTGTCTTTTTTTTAAATATGCATTGAACATCCTTTTTGACTTAATTTTTCAGATTCCATTTTGCCTTAAGTGATAAATTATTTTGGAATTTTCGAATAAAGTTTCATATTTTACGTTACCACACCTAAATATATATCTTATTTTTACCGGGGCGTTCCAGGGCTATAGAACACGGAGGGAAAGTACTTTAAACATTGATATTATTATACATAAAATATTTCGCTTCATGAACACATAAGAGTTACTTGTCTCATCTGGGAATCTAACCGATCAAACGTGAGAAAAAAACATCCTGCTCTGCAGCGAACTTGTTAAAGAATTTGCATACATGAAATCACCTTTTTCAACATTTGATAAATATATTGCAATAATCGTAGATACATTGGCAGTGCCTACTTTGTTTTTTTTTTATAGATTGTATAATCAAACGGCGTTCCCTTTAAATTAATGTGCTAGGTTACTTTAAAGGAATTAATCCTTATAACTATCAGTATCTTAAAAATACAGGCGGTTTTTTTTTCAAATTTGATCATATGGATTCCCAGATGAAGCAAGCAACTTTGTAAAAGTCTTGGAATGCAGTATTATTTATTTAAAAAAAATAAAATAATGTACACACGCCAGCATATCAAGCTACACATTGACGTATCTTGTTCCGTCACACTGGAGGTGATTTTCGAACAAAAATGTGTCGTCTGATGTGCCGTTGTCCGTACCTACTTTTCCTCGGTGTCCCAAAGCTGTGAGACGCTCCGTAAATTTTGCGTCATTTACATAGCGAAATGTACTGTTTAAAAAATTATTGAAACAGTACATTTATTACTTGCAATATAATGGTAAATTTTATATGTTTACTTTAGGTTAACCTGCCGTTATATGACTGAGAACCACCCGTTTTTACGCTTAGCACCGTTCAAAATGGAGCAGATGTACATTGCTCCTGATGTGTATGTCTTCCACGAGGTCCTTAGTGATGATGAGATCGAACATATTAAGGAGTTGGCGAAACCTAGGGTGAGGATACATACTTAATTTGTTACATTGAAAAGTCACACTGCTTACATATACATACTGATATTTACTTCGGTCAATAGTTCATAAAGTTTTTAACACATCGCGAAATTAACAGTTGATTTTTTTATGACAATACTATGAATGGTTCCCTTTTTGAATGCAACTAACGCGAAATAGTTCAGAAAAAAATACTAATTCTTAACTCTCTACGGCTGTAATTTGGAATGGCGGTAAAACTACATTAACAGTGTTTTAGAAGTACATACCTGTTAAAATCATGTATAAGAAATATTTGATATTTTTTTACTTATAATTATTTCTAAGTTTAAAAATCGGCTTAGAAGTAAGTTTTCCCCAAATCATACAAAATTAGTGCACGGGAGTTTTAGTCCCGCATTTAGAATATTTCAAACGCAACACTTACTAAGCTTCACTCGAAAAATGTTCGACTTTGGAATCCACATGATCACAAAATTCTTGCGTTATGTTGAAACTTTTGGTTGGATTAGTAAAAATATTATCGGAATTTCGATATACGATTTGGTGTCACACGCATATGAACGAAAAAAAGCAAATAACTGGATTCAGAATTTCATACTGTATGTTGTGATGTTAAGAATTAGTTTTCATCATTAAGTAAAGTCCTTCAGTATTGTAAGGGATAGTCAGGACGATACAAGTCCAGATTCACCAGTTTTTTTAAATGGAATTTCAGTCCCAAGTCATAATAAATATTGTGCTATTTATTTATTTATTTTATTATTCTATTTGTTTGTTTATTTGCAATTTATTTAAGTGCTTTTGTGTTTCTTTAAATTTCATTAAACATTAATATTGCAAATTGTTTTGTAAATACAAATTGAATGAAGTAGAGGAAGTAGTATTATGACTGTATGTATTTTTCATTATATACAAACATTCTGTATCTTGCAGTGTTGCAATTGCAATTTTTTTCTCAAAGCGAATACAATTGACGCAATTACTAAATTTATTTTATACGTGTCGTATTTTTGTACGTTTTATATAATAAATGATTTAAATATATATCGATGGTTTTCTAGAATAGTGGCTTATCTGAAAGACACCTAATTCGTCATGAAGATGGTTTGAAAAAGATTGAGGCCGAAAGATCAGGCACGCAAAGGCGACGAATCGCATACCGGCAGAATGTTGTCACGTGATTTTTTTTCACCGGTATAATTAAAAAGTGAATTATTTTGATTCGTGGTACTATTCTTGAAAAGCAGCGATATACATATTGTATCGTTTCAATGTACTTCTGATTTTTACTTAATCACTGTTTTAATATTAAATTTTATCTATTAAACTGCCTCCATTCACGAACGGTTACCATGTTGGACGGCCACGCAGAGGTCCTGGGTTTTTTTCCCTGGCCGGGAGAAATATTTGTATTTCTTATATTTATTTGGGTGTACCAAACTCACGAGATAAATAAGTATATTTGTGTGTGTTAGTGGCACCTGCGACATAGGGTTTCCGTAGTACGGGAAGTGTGTGCATTGCATTATTATTGTGATTATTATTATATGTCTGGTAACTATGCAATCCTAATCTTATTTAATGATTTTGTAGTCAATGGGTTTCTTTGTGCCTGAAATAAATGTATATTATTATTTTCAACTTTCCTCACCCACATTGGTCTATAAAATGTATAATTTTTAGATGTTGCACAAGTTTTTTAGTAATGCAAAATTATTTTTTATTTCCAGTTCAAGCGAGCCGTAGTCCACGATCCAAAAACAGGCGAACTAGTTCCTGCCAACTATCGGATAAGCAAATCGGCTTGGCTACGTGATGAAGAGTCTTCTGTAATAGCTCGCGTGTCCCGACGCATTCATGACTTCACCGGCCTCAATCTAGAGTCCGCCGAAGAGTTGCAAGTCGTTAATTACGGCATTGGGGGCCATTATGAGCCTCATTATGATTTCGCTCGTGTGAGTCTTTTTTTGTTATACTAAGTGACGGGACGAGCAACGTAAGCGACACGCGATAGCAAAGGCACTGCCACTGCACCTGTCCCATTTGAAAAGTCCCATGTGTCTGTAATTTCACCGACACCCTGAGCTTTCGAAACCGAAACGCAATACTCACATTATTGCTTGGCGGCAGAAGTAGGGCTTTTTTATATTACCAAGTGACAGGACAAACAACATTTTTGCTTGAGAGGGGTCAAACTATTATTATATCGCACCCCTCATGGAAGAATGACTTAATTGGAGTTATGTGAAACATATAAACATGTTTATTGCTTAGATACAAAATACAAAAAAATATAAAATATACCTCATATCCTCTCCAAGTCTTGTAACTGTATCTACAATATTAGTCAATAGAGTTACAAGAATTGGAGAAGATGTGGGTATCTTACCTATTTTCACTTATCGTATTTTTCTGTCTCTAATGGAGTAATAAACGTTTTTGACTGTAACTCCACTTATGCCATTCTTCCATGAGGGGTGCGATATACACATTATTGGTCAAACAATCAATATGTTGATGATTTTTGGCAAAAAAACAAAGTCATTTTCTAAAATTTGTCATCATTGTCGCGTCTGTTGTAGTAATTTGATACGGGGCTACGAGATGAATAGCTTGCAGTCATGACTCGTGTTCTCGACACATCAAGAACTTTTCCGATCTCTATACTTATCGTTTGTGTTTGTGTTTCAGAAGCATGAGAACGCCTTTTCGAAGTTCAACGGCAATAGAATAGCCACTGTATTGTTTTATGTAAGTACAGATACTTTCATTCATTGGTTTATAATAAGGTATGATACTAATAGTATTAGACGACCTCGGTGACCCAACGGTTCACACTGTGGACGCTGGATGAGGAGGCTCGGGTTCGATTCCCGGTAGGACCCAAAACTAATCCGAGATCTTAACATTTAAATTGCCGGGGAAATTCATCATCAACTCATTTACCTATCAGACTCCCTGCTCAGGCGAGGGTTATGGTCATATCCGCCACACGTTTTTCCAAGGATGATGAATCTTCCTAAACTTACTTCATCACGATGTTTTTCTTTACCGAAAAGCTCGTGGTAAATTTCAAATTAAATTTCGCACGTAAATTCCGAAAAGCAGAAGTGCGAGACTGAACTCGAACCCACGTCCTCTGCTTAAAATTAATCAACATAAATCTACAAAACTTTACCTGTTTCGTTCTAGATGTCGGACGTGGCCCAAGGAGGAGCCACGGTGTTCACGGAGCTCGGCCTTAGTGTGTTCCCCAAGAAAGGTTCTGCATTGTTCTGGATGAATCTTCATCCTTCGGGAGAAGGTGATATGTCTACTAGACATGCCGCTTGCCCTGTGCTCAGAGGATCTAAATGGGGTGAGTTACATACGTACAATAACGTTTGTTTCCCGTGTATAATAGCTAGAGAATACGTACAGTCGATGCCCTAGGATAGTTGACCCACTAATCGACTATTTAATTCTGAAATAAACTTAACCTTTAATCAGTGATTAAATTTTTATTGAATTGATATTCAATAATTTTTATGTGAAATTACTCCACTAGTATGTTATAATTAGTTAGTAAGTAACTTAGTAAGCGTATCACGTGTGCCAACAGTACGTGGAGTTCCATGTACTTGAGCTCAGTCCGCCATTTTCGCTGTGTACGTTATGGTCAATTATTTCGTGTCAATTATTTCTTGGGAAACCTCTAAAATCGGAGAAAAATACCTTAGTTTGCAACTCGGGAGTAATGAGTAGAAACGATAGACGCACCTGTAATGTTATCCTTGGTGGTGTTTCATATCATAGTTAAGTCTTATTTAACTTTAGTAAATTTTTAATTTTCTGTTTATCGAAGTAAATTTTTGTTACAAGAAGCGAAAGTACACCTTATACGCTGCAATATGTGGCTTTTTTTTTGGAGAACTAGGTAAACATCTAGAATTCATCGTCGTTCAGCTAATGACCGCTAGATGGGAGCACATTTATTGAAATTTCAATATAAAGTCTAAACAATAATAGGTGTTAACATGCAATAATAGGTATTGAACTTTCAACGATACGCCAACAAAGTAAACTTTAAATTATATTAGCACTCCAGAATTTCTTTTTAAATTAAAAACTACTACCAAGCATTGTTTCATAGTGTTTAACATATAATTGTGTGAATTTTGGCAACGGTGGTTCTGATGGCAAGCATTTCCATTGTTTCTTTTCTTCCATGTGGTCTTCTGACTGCTATCTGCACTTTGCAGTTTCATTTTTTAACTGCCTCTGTGGCCGAACGGTTACCATGCCGGACTGCCACGCAGAGGTCCCAGGTTCGATTCCCGGGCCGAGAGAAATATTTGTATGGTCTACATTTATCTCTCTCGTGAGTTTGGGTGTAATATGTGGTTGTCTATGTATGTGTCCATGACACACGCGACACAGGGTTTCCCTAGTGCGGGGCTATGTTGAGTGTCTGCGTTATTTAAAATTTATTTTATTTATTTATTTCATACCGATTATCTTTACAGTGTCAAACAAATGGATCCACCAAGGCGGACAAGAGCTCATCAAGCCGTGTACCTTAGAATATCAGGAGGAGAACTTCGTTCGCCATATCGCCCGCCCGGTACCCAAGTCGTTTAGATAGCTGTTGCACAAAATATTAAACTTCTTAAATGGTGAGACTTAACTTTAAATCTCAGCATTATACAGGTTGATATTTTATTGTGATTCTATTTATCAATATGGACTTTTTATAAAGAAATCGTATGATAATGCAAAAAAATCCGTACACACCAAATGCTTATACTACATACTTAATAACAATAATACATTTATTTGCCATATTAATGTACAACATGCATAGTGTACAACAAGTAAGTATCAAAGAATCAGTAGATATGACCGCTGGTACTTAAAAGAGGAAAACCTGTGCTATAAGTACCAGCAAACCTTCCAATGGCGTAGTAAAATTTATTTGGTCTAGCTATTTACTATAGTTGTGCAACAAATATTTTGACACTGTATTATTATACGGTCTATATTATACGGTCAATGCAGTAAAAACATGAACAGTACAATGTTTAAATAAACAAAGTAGACATTAAATTTACTTTAAAAAATATGGAAGACGGGTGATTCTCAAAGTTGTGTTACAATGTTGATTTATTATTAACAAAATCTTATAATTTGAATCGAAAGTTTTTATTGTTTACATAGATATTTTATACTTTTACTTTTTTTTGTTAATTGTACGAAATAGAATTTTTTAAAGTCGAGACGGATTCGAGTTAATATTTTTGAGTGAAATAATGTTGATGATAATCTCATGAAACGTCACTTCAAATGTGAACTTTATGTCTGAAGTATAAATATAAACTTTTAATTGATTTGTTGGGTACGATTGTTTTGATACTGTTATGCCCATGTTTTCAGAGAATATTGTATAAATGGAATATTGGCATAACCTAAATAGAATGTTATCCTTACGTTTATACCGTTAAGGTAAGTTTTAATGCTGCACCGAGACAATTATAATGTCAAATGATACAATAAAAATAATGCAATCGTCAACCTTCGTAACTTACTTATTGCATTTGTCAACTTTCTTAAACTCAAATATCTCTGAAACTGAACTTTAAAATATATTAGTTTAATATTATTCTTGCCTGAACAAAATGACATGACAATTTTTATTATTATAGTTATTAGTACGCATGTGTAGAGCACATACTATTATTTTTATATTATTTTTTATTATGACTAAGGTAATGCCAAATATATGAAAAGATGACAAAAGAGGCTTTTGTAAACTTATTGTGTCTATAATTTCTTTATTTAGATGACCATGAAATAAATACATAAGTTCAAAGCCATGTGAAAATGCATTTATTAACGTAGTACATTTGCTATTATATTACCAAGTAGTGTCTAGTTGTTATTCTAACTTTTTAGTAATTTAAGTTTATAAGCAGTACTTAGAAAATGAAATAAGTTATACATATCTAAATAGCCATAAAAAGTACATAGTCTATATTGTTTTTTTTTATTAAATGTTTTATTATTTCAGATTTTATAGAACGAATTATTGTTTCTCAAATCTTAGTATTTGCAAAATGATTAATCTTATTATCATCCTGGAAATTTGAGACAAGGTAGTAGGTGCTATTATCTCTATTTTTTTTAGATAACACTAAGAAGTCATCCTTAACTTTTTCAGTTCTAATTTCATCATGTTGCTCTCCCAGTTAGGAACTTTCTTTTAATTTTTGGAAACCGGTATGTTACGCGCCTTAAAAAAACAGTGTGAGACGCCCTTTTGTGACTGTATTTTATTTAATAACGCAGTTGAAGTAAGAACAACACTTTTTTTTTATTTATAGTCTATTGCACATAAAATAGTACAAATGGGGGATTTAATGGTGCCGTAATTAAATAAAATATTGGGATGGTAGGTATTTAAAAAACATATCATATAGTTACAATGGTTCATAGGTGCTTACTATCTCGTTTCGGATTTCCGCTTTAATATTTTTAATACAATTAATTAATTACTCGTGATAATTTCATAATGTGGAAATTATAAACATTATTATAATTATTAATATTATAGCAGAATAGTGCTTATACAACGTTTAAATTCGTGAATATAAACATATGATAAATATTAAATATCTCGTTTTAATTTATTTGTTTTTAAGTTTCCTTCTTGGTAGCCAATTTTACATAATATATTAATAAGCAGAGTATATTTACAAAAACTTCAAGGAAATAATTGCACATAGCGTAGATAACTCCTTATCCATTTCTGCCGCCAAGCCAAAATCTTCAGCTGAATTCTCGCGCATTCGCACGGAATCGCACGAAATGCAGATTTTAGCTCGTATCTAGTATGTACGTTACGTAATTGACCGTAAAGTTCTTTATGCTATGTACAAGACCATTACAAAAATTCCCTTCCATTCCGATCCGCTATAAGTTACTTTTATTTTAGGAAATTATTTTAAATTAAAATTGCTTATTAGCCTTGTACAATGGCTAGATTGTAATTAGTTATAAGGTTTTGTTTTGCTTTATAACAAATTAAAAAAATCCGTTCCGCCGCAATATAAATTGAACCTTAGGGTGCTGGTGAAACTACAGGCACATGGAACTTTCTACTTATGTCTCAGGGTGACGGCCGTAGCGACAGTGCCCCTCAGTTTTTTGCGACTTAAAGCTCTGAAGCCTACTATGAGCTTATAAGCAACCAGCCAAGTTCTATACAATTCACTTGTCGTGGTAAAACTGTATTGTTTAAGAATGCCAAGGCAAGATGATCAATTTTACCTTTTAAACATTAATTATTGTCCCTGCCTGGCTAGTTGACATGTAACAAGAACGAGATGGAACTACTACTAAATCATATGAAAGAAATACACAGATGTCCTTACTACCCTTGGGAGCATACAAGCACTATTAACCGATTGCGTTCGAAATGAGAATAATTATATTTTTTCAATAATTTTATATTAATATAATTATACTGTAATATCGGCAACTTTTCAATCATACTTTACAATTTGTCGTAAGACAAAATTACAAGTCATGTCTAGTCATTATCATTGAAATTAATAAGGTGAGTTTGTAATTTGACAACACAATCAGAACGTATCTTGTATCCGTACATTTTCATTGATTAATGCGTCGTCAGGACATTGGCGAAATCGCCATTTTTTTTGTATAATTTTTATAATAATATTAAACTACCATACATAGTTATTTTTACTTGACATTGGCAAAATCATTGATTATTTCGATGGGGCCATAACATTTAAAAGAAGAAGAAGAAGATTAATGCGTCAAAGTCAAATTTGGCACTATTTAAAAGTTATTGTACGATTTTCGCTAAATGATTATAATACAATTTAAAAATTGCAATTACATTCATGTTAACAATTTATCAACATACACTTTAATAACATACAATACTCTGAAGATGGGAAACTCGAATTAAACTATTCAAAAAAGTTCAATAGTATTTATTTTATATTAGTATTTATTTATCTTAGAATAATTTATTTATTGACAATTGGCTATATAGCCTAAAAAGATAACAAATAATTATGAAACTGATAATAATAGGGGTTAAAGTATGAAATTGCCGATTTGTACTGAAAATC